CCTTTCCTTTCCTTTCCTTTCCTTTCCTTTCCTTTCCTTTCCTTTCCTTTCCTTTCCTTTCCTTTCCTTTCCTTTTCCTTTTTTTAAAATGAAATGGTGGGAACCTTTGGAGCTGCTTCACAGATAAGAAAAAAGGATTCAGAAGCCAGTGGTAACTGTAAAAGCCTCCATTCACAACATTCAAAGTATAGCATGCTGGTATTGCCTTAGTTTTATTTCAGACTCTATTGTTACTCACTTGCTAATGAAGTCATTGAACTCTGCTGACCATAGCTCAGGCTGCCTTAGTTTAGGGGGTGGATTCCTGGAAAATAAGAATCAAGGATGGAAGCTGTTCTTTGATCAGATGGGTGAGATCTGAGAAGCAAAGCTGAGACCAAAGCATTACCACAGTTCCAGGGTCCACCTGTATCGTCAGAGATTGCCATCATTTCCCAATTCCAGGAAAGATAATTAGCTATTCGTCACATTTTATATAGAATGACATCTTCCTAGTTTCTCTGAAAGCATTTAATGTATAACCCAATTTTCCTGTTATTATTATTTTTTCTCCCTAAGAATCATCTTGGCTTTTATGTGAAATCCCTAGGAGGAAATGCCAGTATTTATCAGAACAGAAACAATGAACACTGGGAGGAAAGAGTTTCCTCTCTGAGCCCTACAGAAGTCTCTGAGGAATAGCCAAGGTACACAGCTTGGAATAGGTACCAAGCTGCAACAGCAAGGGCAGTACGCCTCCTGGAGCAAGTGTTCTTTTGTTTCTAGAAACATGGCAGGAAGCATGTGTTTGGATGTGACAAAAGAACTGAAAAATGCCATTAGCTATAGCATGCTGAATGTCACTTGAAAGACTTTGTTATTACTTCTTTTCATTTTTGAAGCTGAACAAATCTTTGCGGTTTTGGAGCATCTGCACACACAAAGGACATTGCTTGACAATGAGGCTGATGTGGCTGTGTAATCAAGGAACATTGATCAACCATGATGGCTAAATTTGCTGAAGTGCTGTTTTATGTGAATTCTAACAGCTCTTTGTTTTCATTAGGGGGATGGAAATACTTTGTCATCAGTCCTGCATTGCTCCTTAAATAGCTTATAAAGAAATGAATGTACAGTTGGTACAGGCTCATTAAAGGCATTTGCAGCTAACACATCTAACCAGACCACACCAAAGAGCCTTTCAGTCTTGAGGACTATTTGAAGATTGCTAATATTCACATTTTAAAAGTACTTTTGTTTCAGCCAATAATTTTATTTTGTTTCTTGTCCACTGAAAATTTCCTTCTATATTGGGTTACTTTAGTATGTCCAAATTTGACAATTTTACAGTACCCAGAACTGTAGCTTTTCAGATCCTCCTTTCCACATATTTCTACAGCTGGTATCCTCAGAGTTTCATTTTAAAGACATACTAACAGCAGCAATAGTAGAAAATAATTAACATGATGCATGCTCCAGATCTCTCTTTAGACTAAGTGTTAGAAGGCACAGTAGACCAGTGGTCTCCATCCTGTTTGTGTCCTTATCACCAAGAGTGATAATGGGGTTAAATGAGGCACTTTGCACTATGACTAAAGTGATTTAGGCGTGTTTAGTTTTACATTATATGCTAAATAGGAGTATGACAATAGAAATTAGAAAAAACATTTCTTTTTTTAATTTTATTTTTTATATTAATTACAGTTTATAAACTTTGTATCCCAACTGTAGCACCCTCCCTCATTCCTTCCCAACCCCACCCTCCCTCTCTCATCTCCTCCCTGCCACTCTCTAAGTCCACTGACATATTTCTTTTGTTTTCAAAAGTCGTAGAACTGGTAGGTATATAGAGGATTTCCTCTTTCTGCTAACCTGGTTTTCTCCACACACCAAATAAGCAACATAATATACAAGACCCAAGATAACACTGGACACTGAAATATAAAGAATGATATATTTATAATAAGTAAATAATAAGTAATTATTTATATTTATGGTAAGTAAAATATTTATAATTCAGAGCTAAGGGAGCTGGAGAGATGGCTCAGAGTTTACGAGCATTGGCTGTTCTTCCAAAGGTCCTGAGTTCAATTCCCAGCAATCACATGGTGGCTTAGAGCTAATACACAGGCTATTTCAAAGTAACAAACAACTTTTAATGCTTGTTGCTAGAAAAATTTAATTACACATAAAGCATTACAAAGGGATCCATTTGGGAATGAATAGAACATCATAGCATCATTTCGTTAGAACTACAGCACTCAATGATACCCCTCACCACCACCACTCCCGGTGTATCTGCACATGTTGAAATCACAGCCTTTGATTAATAGAGTGTGTAATTACTGACTATCATGTACCACACTCTCTGGGTCCCTGTAAGTACAAGCTATGTATGTGTGTTCTTTAGAATTAAGGGATCAGGAATAATCCTTAAGGTCTCTAAAAATAATTTACCTATAATTAAGATGAACATTTTTTTTCCATATTGATTTTCTGAGACACCTAGAACTTAGCAATACATACTTACAGTAGTAGCACAATGTAAATACTGAAGGTATTAAGGCCAGATGGCTAGTTCAAGGGTAGCTAAGCCCACACTTTTTAGGTGGGCATAGGATTATACATCAAGAAGCCCACAAAAGAGATGAAGCAGGAGGATCCTCTTCTTCAAGGTCATCTTCAAGTACATAGTGATTTCAAGGATGTCTCAGGTTACATGGGACTTTATTATTTAAACTTTCTCGAACACTTATGCCTATTTCCATGATGAGAAGCCAGTAGCTAGAAGAAAAAAAAAAAGAGCTGATCTTGGACCAGCTGGTTGTCTGACCTTGGTATTTTGAAGAGTGCTCTCATGGGATGCAGCTCAGCTAGTGGGGGATCTCCATCACCCAGCTCAATAGCTGTGATACCCAGGGACCATGTGTCACATCTAGCATCGTACGTGGTATCTAATTGTTGTTCACATGCAATCACCTACAATACAAAAACAGAAAGGGAAAGCTTCAAGGTTTCAACAAGCAAGCAGCAAAGTGTTCAGAGAAAAGTCCAGCTGTTTAACCTGGTAAAGTTTCTAGCTAAGTAAAGATAAAAGCAGTAATTTATAAGGAAAGAGACTGATATAAGTAGTCGTATTTTTATTCTAAGTGCAGACAATACTATTGCAGGTTTGTAGATGTATACAGAAAGAGCCTATGAAGAGGAAGCGTTTAGAAACTATACTGCAAGAGGAAAGAAATGGTGCCCTAAGTAGAATGGGATCAAATGCACAGCTAATGACTGTGACATATTCTCTCAGCAGACAACTGAGGGAGGGGGGCAGTCACCCAACAGCATATTAAAGAATCAAGGGAAAGAAACTTGAGGGCAGTCTAGTTAAATAGCTTTTAACCTTACTTGCAATTAGAACACAAAAGCATCCTGGGATAAATGAGAAAAAAAATGAGAAGAAAGCAAATGGCTTAAACCATTAATAACAAAAAAGTCCACACAATAAAAATAAAAACTGATGGAAAGGTACAATGGCTTATTTGAGCCGCATTAAATTTTAAAAATGCAATCAACTGCCACTAACCAAACATGACAGAGCCAAAGCAATAAGGGGAGAATGGTTTTGCAATATTGTAATACAGTATTACACAGAAAAAATCATTGTGTTAAATTCCTTTATAACATTTCTAAATGTGAAAGTACAAATGAAGAAGCCTATGAATGATCATTGTTAACATTAATGATCATAAAAAGGAACTTCAACTTTACATTGTGAAAACTGCTAATTATTATTATTTCTTTTATTTTTGAGATTAAAATAAAATTACATCATTTTCCCCTTCCCTTTTCTTTCTCCAAACTCTCTCATATAATGCTCCTTGTTCTCTTTTAAATTCATGGCCTCTTTTTTCCATTAACTATTGTTATATACATATATGTATATACATATATTTCTAAATATATAAATACAACCTGGTAACTCTGTAATATGTTACTTATATACATGTCTTAATGGCTGCCCCTTTGGTATTGGATAGCCAAAATTGGTGTGCTCTTTATGGGAGAAGACAATCTCTTGCTTTTGGCGTTCCTCAGTGGCCTGTGATTCTTCGTGCAGTTCTTTGTGGTGGCCTCACTGTCCACGTGGGCATCTCACATTCTCCTTGTTCATGTTCAGCCAGTCATCCTGATGAGATTCTATTGGTGTAGCTTCTGAAATTACTAGAGACACAATCACATAGAAAACTTCCTGATCCCCTCTTACAGGCTTTCCACCTCTCAATGGTCCCTAAGCCTTCGGTGAAGAAGTACTTTGTAGATGTATCCAATAGGACTGGGCTCCATAACTATGCACTTTGACTGGTTGAGGTTTTCTGTAATGGTCTCTTCTCCATCTACTATAAAAAGAAGTTTTCTTGATAAGGGCAAGAGCTACATTTATCTATGGGGATAAGGACAAATATTTAAAATGTAATTATGGATTATGCTGCTTTAGCAAAATAATGATGTCCATTTTCAACATCATTTATTTGTGTACACGCATGTGTGTGTCCATATGCATATGGAGATCAGATGATATCATGCAGGATTCCCTCTTTCCACCACATAGGTGCCAGGGCTTGAACTCAGGTCATTAGGCCTGGTAACAAACACTTTTACCTGCTGAGCCATCTTACCGGCCTTGAAAACAATTACTTACATTCAATTTTTTTTCCCTTTATGAATGTCAACTCACTAAACAAAAATTAATTCTGGGAGGGATGGAAGCTTAAAGTTCTTCCATTTAACTACATTATGGTAATCTCTGGGTACATTTAATCTGCTGATTGCAGCATACATTGAGAAAACCATGTGGTCTCACAAACTGAGCTGGCAAACTTCACATTTGCTAGTCAGGAAAGGCTACTTCTTCATGATGAATGAGTCCACTCAGACCTGTCACTGAAAGCCATAACAGGAATTATCTAAACATAAACATATCAGTGTGTTTAAAAAAGATGATTGATATATTGATAGATGATATATAGATAGATGACAGTAGAAAGAAGGATAGATGATAGAAAGATGGATAAAAGATAAGTACATGATCGATAGTTAGATGGATAGATAGGTAGAGAGACAGATAGGTAGATGGATAGATAGACAGATAGACAGACTGACAGATAGAAAGACAGATGGCTAGATAGATACCTGACAGATAAGTGGTAGATGATTGACAAATGAAAGATAAATGATAGATATACTATCTACCACACATGTATTTGAATATTATTGGCCTTTAAACATTGATCTGCTTATGTCTTTCTGTTTACTTCCTGTGAACTTGCCCAAACAAAAGCCAATCAGCAGCAGTTGTCTGCATCTGTCTGCCTCATCCCAGCCTCAAATCCTTTGCTGTTGCATAGTTCTGTCTCTTTTTCAGCCATGCAGTGTGTTTATAGTTTCATTTTCTAAAGTCCTAGGAGCAAGCATTAGAGTTTTAAGTTTTACTTTAAAATTTTATATGGAAAATATTAGGGCAGTATTGTTCACAGGCAGCCAAAATTCTAGAAAACCAGTGTCTCTTGAAGAATGGATATACAACTGTGTTATGTACACAGAGTAAAATATTACTTAGACACAGAAGGAATACTGATAAATGCTGCTACTTGGATGAACCCTGAAAATAAAACAAGGGGAAAAAGCCAGATACAAGGGACACGGGCTCAGATTCCATTGGTAGAAATTGTTCAAAATAGACCAATCCATCATCTAAAACTAGACTAATACTAGACTAGGGCCAGGGAACACTGAAAATACACAGTAAAGAGTTCTTTTAGGAACAGAAGAATGCTTCAGCTTAGATTGTGGAGGGACAGTGTGATTCTCTCTATCCACCAACAGTCACGGAACTGTGCATGTCATGAATTGTAGGGCGTGTTACCTATCTTTCTCTAAAGCCAGGAAAACACAGTTTTCACATGGACTTTCTGTTCTGTTGTACAAACATGATGGCCTTTAGTAATTTGTGCTTGTGTGTGCTAGAAATAAAACTCATGGCTTGCATTCTTCCTTCCATTCTTGTCTGATAAACAGTTGGTTTCAAAACATGGAGTCTCCCCTACTCTTCGCGTACATTCTTTATTATTATTACTGTTTTATTACTCACAATTTATTCACATTGTATTCTGCTGGTGATCCCCTCCCTCCTCTCCTCCCTGTCCCATCCTCCTTGCATCAACCAAAGACCTTGCATAGAGGACTTAGACTCTGTGCTCAGATGTAGCCCATAGGCAGCTCAGTCTCGATGTGGGTCCTCTAGTAAGGGGAGAAGAGACAGTCTCTGACATGAACTCAATTGCTTGTTCCTTGATTACTTCTCCCTGGTGGGACAACCTAGCCATTCCACAGAGGAGGAGGATACAGGCAGACCCCAATAGGCTAGGGTCAGACAATAGGAAAAGGAGACTTCTCCTATTTTCTAAGTGTCTTCCTATGTAGTTCAGGTCATCTTTTCCCAGATTGAGAATTACTGGCATTCTAGAATGCCTGGTTGATGCCACTATTTTTTTTCTAGATACGTTGCTGCATCACAGTAATGCACATCTTTCGGAATAACACACAGTCATCTGGCATCACAATTTGGGACACTTCCCTTAGGTTAGAGTGAATTTATATTCCAGTTTGCTCAGAACATTCCTGGTTCATGACTGCTGTCCTTGGATCTGTACAGTATCTTGTGAATTCCCGAGATTAGTATAGTAAATTGTATAGTTACTTGCTGTGGTCCCTTGACCCTTCAGTCCTGTCACACTTACTCCAGACGGGAAAGAATGGCTTTATGTAACCAAAGTACACGGTCTTTAAAGGACAATAAAATTTTAAAATGCTAACCAAGAACTTCACTTCCTAAGTGATTAATTTTAAAACACTGATTTTTTTTTTTAAAGATGAGGATATTGTATGTGTTTACCTATTTCCTTCTAATTCTTAGAAATGTGTCACTAAGTGCTTTGATCAGTGCCAGGGCTTAAACCCAGAGCGTTACACATGCTGGGCTCTACACAGAGCAGCATCTTTGTAGGGCAGAAATGTTGTTACTAACATAGAAGCAGTGCTTGTGAGATACCTTGTAGCTAAAATAGTAACTCAGAGTATGTTCAAGATCAGACAGTACGTATTGCAAAAAGAAGAGAATAGTCACAAAGTAATGACATCAAAACAGTGATTAGCAGTCGCAAATAAAGAAGTGCTTCTACAGGTGAACAAATATATAGTTGTGATTTTGTTCCTATAAATTAACATAAAACATAAAGCCTGAATATTTCTCATATATATAACACTGAAATAATCTTATGCTCTACTTTATTCAAATAAATTACAATATTTAGCACAGGATTTCATTTTTACTGACTTCTCACTTTTGTAAATTTTAAGAATACTGATGTTATGTCAGAACAAATTCTGATGATGCCCTTATTTCAGATTCTCTCAATAAATTTTGTTCTGGCGTACATGACTACAACTTCTTTTCTTCTCAGAGGTGGCCCCCATTAAAAATGTTTTTAAGCCACTGGAGCTTCAGAAAAGCTTATTAAAACTGTAGCCTTTTCCCATATGCTACACTAAACTTAAAAAAGGTAATAGCTGAACTAATCATTAAACAGAAATGGCATACAGGATTTCATTTTCAAACAAATTTAATTAGGAGATTTTGCAATGTTAATGTAGCATTTGAATCACTTCTCTCTTTGCTCCCTAGAACATCAAGTATAAATATCAGAGCTTTCCCCAGTAGATGCAGAGAGAGTTTTCAAAAATAAGCATTCTTTATTGACCAACATAATTAAAAAGATTAAAGGCATTAAATAGGGATTTTTGGGAGAAGATCTGATTCTTGAACTTTCAGTTATATTAGCAGTTTATCTACAAGTCTCCCAGGATAATAATGAAAAAAAAAATCTACTAAAGTTGTTCTTGGTTCCCAAGCTGGTGATTTAACATAAGAACTCACTTTCCACATGGGTTGATGAACCAGAATGTTCCCTAACATAGCCAAGGGTTCTCATAAAATGTTTATTATTATTTAAAAACGGAATGTAGCCAGATAGTGAGGACACGGTGAAACCGCTGAACTAGACTACTACAAAGTAGAAAGAAAGGTGAATTGGAGATCAAACGGCCAAAGGTATCTATCTCTTGGTGTGTGTGTGGGAGTGGGGCACAGAGAGAAAATGCAGAGAGAAGAGAGAGAGAGCAGGCTGGGGATTGCCAGGGGCTATCTCTTGGGAACAGAGAAGATAACAAAAATGATGTGTTTAGGGGTGTATAAGAGGTTATGCTGTGGCAGGAGGCCGGCCAGTGAACAACCTGGGGAGCAGCCTGGAGTTTGATCTGTTGGATATCACAGAGAACCAGATACACTCTCCAGATTTGGGGAACGTAGGATCCAACAGGAAAGTGATGGCTTTTCTTGGCAGAAGCCCACTTTACATGGTTTCTGAAGATGCTGAGTATTTACTGGGTCAGAGAACTTCCTGAGTAACTACACATATAATTACAGCATTCAGAAGAATAAAGGAGAAGGATACAGAGGCCTTGTAACAAAACACCAAATAACAACAATGGAAATATAGTAATAGTAATAAAACATAAAAATAAAACAGCATACAAATATCCAGGCTACAAATTCATGCTTAACAAAAACAAATAAACAAAAAAAGCCTTCAAGTTGTCTTTTTGCCTCATCTGACTTGCTCATTCATCTTTCATTTATTCACACGTGCCTTCACAGCTAGTTTGCCCAGAACCCACCATGTTCCTTCTGGCCCACATAAAATCCCCACATGACAGTAACACAGGAGACATTTTCTTGTGATACATTCTAACACATTCAGGGAGAAAAAGTATATATAAAAAGAAAAGATAGAAAAGATCTAATAGCATTACGCTTGTCTTCCTCAAAACTCTCTGACCTCAGGGGCCATCCAAAATGGTGTTCCTACAGAGGTGTTCAGGCGATGCTGGGTGCTGCTGAGCTGTGCAGACACACCTAGAGAGAAGAGAAAAGATGGTTCCTTGCATCAACTACTCATGCAAAGAGATTCTAATGGCTATATACTTTCTTATACATTCACATCAGAAGTTTGTTTTGTCAGAGCTCCCCTGGACTGATACATCACCATTAAGGAATCCATCAAGATCTCTATCTAGCCAAAATGCAGATTGGTCCTGTTTCTACTTTCACATCCAAATTCTATGCAACTGTAAGCCCAATCTGGAGTCTCACCTCCCTCATGGTGGCTTCTCTTCTGCCAAATCACACTGGTCTCTTCTGACAGTCTTCATCATGAACTATTTGTATCATGTAGTTTGACATGTATTTACTATTTGAATGATGCTTCATATCCTCTTCCTTCCCCTGACCAGACTCAGTGAACCAAAGAATGTTTTATATGGTGTTATACACAGAGTAATTGAATTGAGACTATATATACAATGACTTTCATTCATCAACCTTGTTCAAGTCATATGCCATCTCAAAGTTTTAAACAATCTACATCTTCCTAAATCAATTTCTACAACAGTGTCTGTTCCTTTTTAAAGATTTAAATGAATTTTTAACTGATCAAAAAATCCACAAAATTATGCACATTTACTTATAAGGAACCTTATGATGTTTCAATATACATATACACTGCAATGTTTGAATCAACTTAAACATGTCTGTCTGTTCTGATGGTTAATGATTAATGCATTCACAACCACTTCCTCTTGCTTTCTGCAATACCCACATCTTACACTTCAGTGACCATCTAGTTAGAATCAGTTCTGTCTTCAGAGAGATTGCAAATTATAACCAAACACTCTAATTATAACTCTACTACTTCTACCTGAGTAGAAATAACTCCTACTACACTTCATAAAAGTATAGAGTAAGGACTCTCCCTTGTTTTTCATACATAACCGGTCACCTCCAAAAGCACAGTGCTCCTGGCTTGTGGACTTGACTGCTTCTACCCAAGTCACAAGTTTTCATTGATGTCCCTGCTTAATCAAGTCCCCTCCCCAGGGAGTCCAATTAAGGCTTCTCTCTTGCTGCCCAGTAGAGGAAGGACATCAGTCCTTCAAGATAACATCTGCTTTTTACTGTGGGATTAAAGGCCAGCATGCCCAAATGGACACTTCCATGGTGGAATTCTTGGCAAGTCTGGTGGGGACTAACCTCTGTTAGTTGCTCCCTTAAGCACTTCTTTAACTAGGCATAAAGACGATCTTAATTTATTCTTTTTAAATTGTGCTTGCAAAATATTATTTTAAAGGAAAACATCTTTACTATATATCATTTTTCAAATTCAAGGGCAATTATCTAATGAATTCTTAAACTTTACCCTTAATATTTCCCAACAGACTATCTGATAAAAGGCTTTATTCCATAATATATCTTTTCCAAAATACTCTTCTTGCCATACATTTATAACTGAGAAAATTTAAACATAACTTTAAGCATTTTATTTTGTTTTATATCTTCTATGAACTAAAGGCAATGTAATTAAGATTGGACTGTATAATGATGTTTAATATTAAACATCTTTTAAATGGAATTTTAAAAGAAATTTTAATTTAAAATAATCATAAATTTTCTAAAATTTATTCTAAGACTATTCAATTACTGATGAAAAACTAAATTATATTTGACCTTTAGTGATTATTTTTGTCTTAATTTGATAAAGATAGCTTGAGTTCAAATGTCAGTTAGATGAGATATAAAGAGGAAGAGGGGAAAAAGGGCATATGTAAATCATATAAAATATAAACAAATAAAAATCAAGGATCAAGGTTTGTTTCTAGCAGAACAAGGTATAAAGATTAGTCCACCAGAACTGGCTTTTTTTTTTTTTTTTTTTTGGTAAGTGTCACAGCTGACATAGTGCTGGGATTTAAGGACAAAGATGACTTGCAAAAAGTGTCCTTTTACATGACACAGGAAATGTAAATGGTGTTATGTTGTGCAGGCAATTCAACTGACCCTCCCTTAGGGACCATCAGGGTCCTGACATGTCCTATGTCATTACCTGCATCCTATGATATCATCTGGGCCAGGCACACAGTGACCTGTCAGCCACTCTCCCCCATCTTGCTCTCTTTCTCTTTCACTCTTCCCTTCTCTTGCTTTCTCTCCCCTTGTTCTGTTGGGGTGCCCCTCCCCATCGTGTCTCTCTCCATCTCCATCCAATAAACCTCATTGGATTTAAGACTGGTTGTGTGCATGACATTTTTATCTAAATCCTAACAAATGGGAAGAACATTAAGGACAGAATCTAGAGATGTGTCACGTGACCTTGTCATGTCATCATTTTTTTTATAAGTATGAGTCATATAGAGACAATTAAGGGGACATATCAGAGCTCAGTAAAGCAACAAGAAGGCTTTAGGACTCCACCAAGGTTGACACTTGTGGTCCAGGCTGGCCACAGCTCTCCTTGGAAGACCACACCCCAGCTTCTCCCTCAGTTCTGTGAGCAGCCAGTGCTGTTTGTAGTATTCTGATTTAACACTGGTCAGTTAGTTTCTACTGCTTAGAACAAAAGACAGCAAAATAGAAAGTCCCAGTGAATTTAGACCTTAAAGGGCAAGTTCACAAGAGCAATAGGCAATCCTGAGCTTTGAAGACTAAGACTCTAAATTTTTAGAAAATATATTACATTTCTAGTTTATAATCATACGGTGCTAAGGATTTTCTGAGGTAAACACTTGGCTTCCAAGGGTTTTGATCAAACAGCCTGAATGAGAAGGAAGCTAAGGAAGCTCACTGCCTGTAGAAACAGAGGCAGTTCTCTATACACTTACTAAGAGGGTAAAATATATTAAGAAACACATTGACATCCATTTTAAGGGATGGCATTGCAATAAAAACTAAACAGAGGCACAACTGTTCCTGAATGCCAACAATAGTTCACACACACACCAGTGCTGATATGCCCTACAAAGACCACTGGCAGGGGCTCAGGTCCAGATTACAACACCCTGGGATTATTTGCTGTCTGCGGAGATCTTCAAGAAAAAAAAAAAGACAAACAAACAAAACAAAACAAAACAAAGCATTACACATTACTCCCCCAGGAGAAAACTGTGGTAAACAGGGAAAACACAAAGACACAAATTAAGTGAAAAAAATACAACTGTGTAGAGAAAGTGGTTCTTGAGAATATTAAGTGATTATAACATTAAAAACAGGCTCACATCCAATTCTGAGACAGCAGAGTCCAGGCTGGCATCTGCTAAATTCTACATTTGAGATGATTCTGTAGTGCCCATTAAACCTCAAGATCATTTTACCCATAAAGACTCAAATCCATAGATACTTCATCACAAAGTTGAACTCTCACGTGAATGAAACAAAGCTGCCAGAAGTCATTTTTAAGGATTAGCTGTATTTCTACTTACCATAAATTCCCATGAGAAAAACAGCTAAGAAGAGTTAAAAAAAAAACACAAAAACTATGGAAATTTGACATAAATTACTTTAAAAAGACTACAAGTATCCAAAGAATGAGTTCAGTAGCCCCAGGAAGTAAAAGGATTAGGAAAGCCATTTTGTCCAGAGAGTAAGGAAAGAAATGTCACCAAAGTGAATAGTTACATAATCACCCCAAGTGAGAAGATGTTGAAGGCTGGAAAATTCCAGGCAGAAAAGTTAGCCTAGTGAGACACTATGGAAAGGAACAGGAGGCCAACGAGAGATCAGCGCTGAACAGCCAGGGCAACAATCCGCAGCCATGGAGACCCAACACAGGTTTATGCCAATCATGTTTAGCCTTTTGCTATGCTGGGGAATTTTCAGGCTATTCTAGGCCCAACAAACAAACATTGCAGGCTGTTCCTATTATACAAGTCCCAAATCCAGGAAGAGTGCTGCACAGGATTGATACTAGCATTCAGGAGTTTCTTCAGGGCTTTAGGGAGATGGCCAAAATATCTAATTTGTTATTTCTATGACATTTTAAACAGATGTGTTTTGCTACAACCCTTAGTACAAAATTCTAAAAGCAATGAACAACAACAATGATAAAACTAGATGGATGAGAGTTGAATTTTAAAATTCAGATGCAAATTAAAGTGTAGCGTTTTTCAGTGTAAAAGACATCACATCATCTCATAGTGTCCTTCCACAGTTGAGGTTAAGACGGTGTGATGGTTAATGTCATGTGTCTAATTGGTAGGGTATGGTTCACAGACACTTGGTCAAACATTACTGTGGATATTTCTGTGGATAAATTAGCATTTAACCTTATGTATTATAAGCAGACAATGCCTCTGCAGTGTGGGTGGGCCTAACTCAGTCAGCTGCAGGTCTTCATAGAATAAAGTTCTGCTTGCAGGCAAAGATGGGGAACTGCAGGCAGTCATCCATTAGACTAGTCTCCAAGGCTTACACATGCTCCTCATAGTTTACCCAAGAGCTCCCAGGCTTGTGAGCCAATTCTATGAAATGATTTTTGTTAGTTTATAGGCATTCTAGCCTCCGCTTTAAGAGAACCACATGTTATGTTCTTGAGGAAATCAGACTACACCCCCTGCACCTCTTTCTGGATTGTTAGAAAGAAAGTCTGCTGTGGCTTTGAAACCCTTCACCGCTCTCTGTAGTTGCAAAGTCAGTTCCACTGTTGCCCAAAATTAAAGGTACCATTTACCTAGTGGGTCCCTCTAGAACACCTTCAGTTTTTGAGTGGTAGGAAATTAAAACCTAGAACATTCAGAAGCAATCACGGGGCTGGAGAAATAGCTCAGAGGTAAAGTGATCCCTAGCCCTGAAAAAGAAAATGTAAAATATAAAAAGATAAGGGCAGAAACTCACATGAAAAAAATAGATAACAGGCTTTAGAAGAGCCTAAGCAGATCTAAGTTTGTATTTTAGGGTGACCCTTGGCAGAGAGAATGCATGCAAAGCACGCATGCACAGTCATATCAGCAAACCCTGGAGAAGAATCTGCTTTTCAGAATTGCTACATCATTAGACTTAAAGATTTAGTTTCAGTAGCAAAAACCAAT